AGAGGGATAGAGAGTTAGAAACATCGATGAGAGAGGAACATCGATCAGCTGCCTCCTGCACACCCCCTACTGGGGATGTGCCTGCAACCAAGGTATATGCCCTTGACCAGAATCGAACCTGGGACCCTTGAGTCCGCAGGCTGATGCTCTATCCACTGAGCCGAACCGGTTAGGGCTCATCTAGAATTCTTGAGTTAGCATGAAATAATGTTGAATCATCAGTCTCTTATGTATACTGAAAATAGATATAGATATATAACAACTAAATGTTACCAAATTATTTATTATGATCAGTGCTAAATTACAATGTATATGAAATGGAGTCATTTATGGAAACACATAAAAATAGTTACCTATGTCTGTAATTATTATATTCACACAAGAATCTGAAATATAGTTTCTTGTCTGCCTTTTAAAATATATCCACAGAATGACTTTTGCAGTGTTCACCACACAATTTTACAATACTGATACCGCACCTGCATCATTTACCATATTATAACAACTGAACAGAATATGAAAGCAGTTAATAGCAAATTAATTTTTATATTCATCAATGATTCCAAATAAAATAATAGTTTGTGTCATTGGCAGTGAGAATAGACAGTAGTAATTGGCATTGTCTATATTGCATACATAGATATGTATGTATATATTTATATGTTGCTCAGGGCCATTGCTCCATCAGAAGGCAGTTAGTTGCCTTTTGGGTGGACCAATGATCGCCAAAAATGTGTGCAATTCCATTGGGACAATTAGTAGTACTATCATTTACCATGTTTCTCTCGCAAAAACAAGTAGGCAAGAAAGAAATACAGCAGGCTAAAATCTACAGTGTTACATACCAAGGTAATAACAGTTACTGAGTTATCAGAGTCACGTAGTTTATGCATACTTGCTATTCACAGACTTTTTGCTGAATAACCGAGCTGCTGGGAATTGACGACGGATAGACATGCATTCATGTGAGTCCATAATTAATGATGTTTATATTGTAATAAGCACATTCATTTTAACACCATTCATTGAACAGATTCCTTTAAAGTTTGAGCTAAATCTGCTATCACAACTACACACAAAGAGAACCTGTAAACAATTTGACATTACACTTATGTACAAGCGAACTGCATTGTAAAGGAGAAGAGGTAATTTCAGTGGGTGTCACTTGGTATACATCAATGTGCCACTAACTGACCCAAGTCGTCAAGCACTTGAATGAGGTCAGGAAAAAGGAACATGAGCACAATCCCGATTCCTCTCGCAAAAGAGGAGCTTGAGAATCCCTGACAAATTCATTGGAGATCTCTATGCAACCTAAGCAACAGGGTCTTTATTAGTGCCCAGGATGGTGCTGATAATATTTAAACATGTCGACTTAATTTGGACCAATTATTTTGTTAGGTTTGACCCAGTGCTCAGCTGGTGCTGACAGATGAGGGGAACAGGAATTCAACTGAGATCATTAGTTCAATTCCTTCAGGCAACGCAGTTGATTTTACTGACTGAGTTCCTATAAGAGAAACAGCCGAATGCCATCACTCATCTAAGTGGTGACCCATTTACGGCAGACCCCATGGACAGCCTGCAGTGGGACTCAGACATGCAGCTCCCACCCTGTGTTTGTGTTTAAGTATGATACTATTCCAGTAATGGATGAATCCACTTCCTTAGATCAGAAACATGGTAATGAGGGGTTGGTACCCCTCCTTCTCTATCCCCCTTCCCCCCACCCGTGTGAGTTACAAAAATATGAGAATCTGTCCTTTTCTAAACTAAGCAGAATATTTTAAGGAAAATTCTCCTGATTCAACATTCTCATTTGGATTGAAAATAAATAAATGAAAGAAAATGATAGAGGAACTTGGAGCCAGGGATAATGTAAAACCTTCCCCTTTGCTCCAAAATTTATGGGAAAAACAATCACTCCTTCTTCAAGGGTCCTTAAACCTAATTAGAACATTTAATTGCTACAAAGTTAATTTTCTTCATGTGTGCTTTTAAGATCACATCTGCAGGGAGCTTATGGCAAAAAAAAAAAAAGAATGACCATACTGGATTAGTTTGCAAATGCTTCTGATTGTATGAGCAATCCTGACAGGTCCCTGGGAAACAGACTCTGTGCTTGGACTTTGAGCTGAGCCCTGGACTGGGAGCCAGGCTGAGTGTCTGATGTTTTGGGCTTGTGTGCAGACACACTGGTCCCAAGGAGCACCAGGGAAGCTCCATTTGCATAGGTTGACTGAAAACACTTTTCACATTCTTCAAAATATGCAAAGCACGTGGCTATGACTGCAAACATAACTTACTGTATCTTTAAGAGTACCCAAATTTTAGTCATTTGGTCATTATGTCTACAGGATGCCAAAACAGATCATTAATATTTTCTTTCATTTCACTATGTTGTTCCTTCTTCGAGCAACCATTATGGTATCTATAAAACAGGCTTAAAGGGTTATTTGCAGGAATCTAGAAAAGTGACTGGTTATTATTACAATGTACCCTTGAGCTTTAGTATATATTTACAATTTACATATAAATTATTTACTATAGTTTTAAAATAATTAAACAGATAATGAGCTCCACCTCCAATTTGTGTAGGGCCACAGGAACCCCATGATTGATGAAGTGAAAATCAGTAAGTAGTTAGTAAATTAACCAATGTGTTGGTGAAGTACCATTAGCGTGATAACCATTGGATTTGTGTTATCACACACTTACGTGTTCTTATTTTTTTCCTAAACATCTTCATGTTCATTTGATGAGGGGTGTATGTGTGTGTGTGTGTGTTTGTTTGTTTTGGGTGTGTTTTTTTTAATGCACATGTTTAAAAACACATAGTTTGAAATTCTAACAAATGGTTTAAATAAGAAAGCCAGTTTATACAAGCTTGGCTTTTCCTCAAATGCACCTCTGTTTGATTTTGTATCTATAGATGTTAAGCCAAGGTATTTTAATCATATTTTCTCTACTATAAATAAATATATACACTCATAGTTTAAGATAATTTTGGAAAATATAACTATATTAAACTATCTAGAAAACCAAATATAAATCATCATCATCATTAGCATCACCCCTCAAACTCAAAATTTCAAAGTTTCAAACTATTAGATTTGTTCATGTGTGTATACATATGTATAGATATAGATTTAGATAGTTATACAAACATACATACATATATATACAAAATTTTATACATAAACACACATATGCAACACACACACACACACACACACACACACACACACACACCTCTCTCACACATATATTTCAGTGCAGTTTCTTTACTGTAGCTGCCTCTCATTTTTCCAACTTAGAACAGTTATGATGAGATGCTTGGAGCAGTCAGTCATATTGGGATTTCTGACCTGTCTTGAACAAAGTGTAAAGTGTTTAAAAAGCCAAAAAGGTGAAAACAGCAGATAGATGCATCCACACATACACACAGGCACATACACCTATTTTACTCCCATGAAGTTGGCCCTGGTAACTTGGAAACAGCACAACAAGCAGCTGCAGGTGCAATCCTCCTGGCATGGAAACTATCTTGCCACTTTGGAGTTCATGCATAACAGTACCCACCAGATACTTGGTCTACAATATTACTGCCCCTTGAAAAGGCTTGTGCCATAAGGCACAGTCTGTGGTAGGCAAAACTACTCCTCCAGGTCTGTCTCTCCTTTATCTCCTAGGGAGATGCCAACTCTAACGGAATTTGCAATTTAAAATAGCTAATAACTTTCAGGAGGGCATTGGGCTGGATTCTTCCTTGCTACCTTTTGCTTGGAGTAGAAGAAAGAGAAGCAGAGAACAGAGGGAAAAATTATATAGTGAGGTGGGTAAGCCAGCAGTCTTTAGATGTTGCTTTATAATAAACATATTTAGCTGTTAAGGTTTATGACTTCACTGAAGTGTCATTTTTCAGAAGCAGAAAGAGACTGAAGCAGAAGACAGAGACATAGATTCCAGGCCTGTCCATCACTACTGAAACCCTGGAAAAAAATTACACATTTCTCCCTCTAAATCTCAGTGTTCACATCTGCATAAAGAGATCATTGTTTTTAGCTTCAAATAAACCCTATACAGATTTAAGGAGGTACTGATCAGTCTTCTATTTCATCCTGTCTTTTGACCCAGAGATCTTCATCTATGTGGTAAGAATTCCTTAAAAATTTTGAGCCAACCCTTAACTCAAGGTTCCCAACCTCAGTACTATTGACATTTGGGGCTGAACAGTTCTTTCTTGTAGGGCTGTCCGTGCATTGTGGAACCTTTGGCAGCATCCCTGGTTTTTATTCATTGGATGCCTATTGTGCCTCTCAAGTAATGACAATAAAAAATGTCCCCAGGCATTGCCAAAGTTCCCTGGGATGCAAAATAACCCCCTGTGAGAATCACTGCCTGAAATGCACAAAACCCACTCAAATCAGAGAAGAGTGTCTCCTGAAATTGTTTCCCTCACATACAGGGATAAACCACTGACCACTGGCACACTGAGAAAAACTGTGATGATCAGGGTTAATCCTCAGTATGTTTAGACTTCAAGGCATTGTTTCGTCTTCCTTCCTTCCTTCCTTCCTTCCTTCCTTCCTTCCTTCCTTCCTCTTTTCTTTCTTTGTTTTTTGAGTTGACTATATGAATGAACATGAGTTTGATTTTTACCCAGAAATCTGGATTATTTGAATTTCACACCAGGAGATAAGCTTTTCTCGACATTCTCAAGGACTGACACCCTTCTACAGACCATTGTGCTGAATTAAAAGCTGTTAAACTTTGTAACCAAAGACTTTTTCCAGGCACTTGGATAGTACTACCATGGGCATTAGCCACTGACTCAACACCAACCTAAAAATTGCACATGTGTGTACACACACTCTCACAATTATAAAGCAACCCTTCTCCACTACTTGTGCATCAATCCTGCTTCCACTGCCGATGGATGGAGCCCACATTAGCACGGAGGCAGTCTGAAGTAATGTGGAGTTTTATTGTGCAAATGCAGGGAAATTAGTTTAAAGGTCAACACTAAGAATAAGCTGACAAGATGGAAGAGGTTGCTGGAGGAAGGAGACTTATTAAATCCTCCAGTTGGCCTGTAAGAGCATTTAGAAGGCTGATTAAAAGGAAAATCACCGCCCCCTGCCCTAGGACAAAGCCCTTGATCGTGGCTGGGCCTGGGCACATTTTTCTTTAGCCTTTTCACTGTAAATAAAGCAAGGGTGACAGTTAAGGAACTAACAGTTTTTTAGCCAATAAACAAAGCACTTTGTTCACAAACAATGGGAACATTTTCTTAAAGGCTAGGAAGCAGGGGCATTAAAGGGATTGACTTGGGAAGTAGAAGAAGGAAGGCAAGCAGAATCAAATTTAACATTTTAAAGAATTGTGGCCCGATCACCTTAACTAGCAGCTCAAGTTCATTAGTGTCATTAACCATTGTCCACTTTCCTTTGGCAGCAGCCGTACTTAAATACTCACTGATGATCCTGACAAGCATGAATTTAAGCCATTGATTTATTTCTTATAGTGAATGGATGTGGGAAAATGGTACCTCTCCAGTTATTCTGTGATATGGACAGAACCAACTGGACCGTTGAAACCTTCCAAAATTTTTCTATCTTAATAACCAGAGTACTACCATCTCCGCTGGTTAGAGTGACTGGAAAGTTACAGAACTTTGTGCCATGTCACATGGAATATGACCACTTTTATGAACTCACTTCTTTATCTTTCTTTTCTATGTATTCACTCTCAAAGATTTTGCTTGAAGTTTTTAGTTCATGTTGGGGATCAGGATCTTCAGCTCTCTGAGAGCTTCATAGTCCTGCTTGAGTCAAATTGGACAATGACTCAGGATTTCATTGAGGCAATACAGCTAAATTCACTGATTATTCTATATTAATTTTGGTGATGTTAGTATGTGAAGTTAATGCACCCGCCCTAGGGGCCTTACACATAGTTAAATTATAGCTCACTCTCAAGTTCCTCTGACTCCAACTGCATAAGGGCCTGGAGATGAACAACTCTCCTTGGGTGAGGTCACTATTTTATTTCCTGTTGGGCATCATTAGGATACATCTCACTCAGAGATGTGCTCCCCTCTACCCAGGGACAAAACTATATTAATGCAAGCTTTTAGTTTGGTAAAAAAAAAAATAATAATAAGTAAAAGGCACAGGCACATGCAAAATGGAGAAGAGGTTATGGATGACAGACAGATGAAAGGCCAAAAGAATCATGGAACTTACTCTACCCTGGTCCTGGGATGGTCTTCTTTGGGCCTTTTCTCTTAAGATAATAAACACTGCATACTTTGAATTATTTGTAGTGAAAAGGAAGTGCCACTAGGAAGTGAGAGAAAAGCTGACCCCTGTATGGTCTCTAAAATAGCAGAGTTTCTCAAAGTAAGGCCACAGACCATCCCATCCAACTCATTAAGAATACTAGCCCCAAACAGACTCCTTGGCCCTACTTGAAGTTTCTGAATCAGACTTTCTGGGGCTAGGATGAAGGAACTCTCCGTTTTGACAAGTGTTACACATGACTTTCGTTTTAGAGCACACTGAGTATTGAAAAAACAACAACTGCTAAACAGTTTGCAATGGAGGTCAGCGAAAAAAGAATCCCCATTCAATGTGTACAGCGAGATGAGAAAAACAGACATTTAAAACAAGTAAGCTCTGTGGTCGCATCACAACGCTGTGATTATTAAAGTTTAAGACTCTTTTCTTTTAGCAGGGGTGGAGAGCAATAACCATCTCATCGAAACCCAGAATGATGAAAGCAATATCAATCAAACTCATTCCAGCAGGTTCCATTTGGTCTAATTTCTCTGCAGATATTAATCATTGCACAGTCCTGTGCAAATGACCTCTAACTCCATCATGACTCAGAACACAAAATGCTCGTTCTGATTCTTCCTCTAGTGTGTTATTTTGACAATATAAAAGAAAATAAATAAATGGAAACAGTGGGCCATCGAGATTGCAAGATTCAACAATATCAAGACATTAAAGAGAGAAATGGTCCATGCTAAACCTATAACCCAGCATGCAAATTGGAAAAAAAAAAACATTTATCTGCCACAGAGTGCTGGAGGGAAGGTGGGGAGAGGAAGTAACTGCCTTCATTTTTCCTTTGAAAATTGCTATGTTAGGTGGAGGTAACTAAGAATTCCACCTGAAAGTTTACAGAAAGTCTTATTAATTCTAGTAAAGGTCACCTAGAAGACCAAGGTTACTTAGAGTTCACGGCATGATCTCTTCCAGGGCATGGCAGAAATACCAGCACTCAAATAGGAACCACAGAGTTGGAAAGTTGAAATTGTAGCGAAGGAAAATGTATGAGAATCAAAGTTTGGGTCCCATTATGGGAGCTGGCATCAAGCAATTTTGCAAAATGCCAGATATGCCTTTGATTTTCTCACTGGAGCATGGTTTGCTTGGCACAGACAAAGGATAATCAGAGAGGAATTTAAAACCCAGAGAAGCAAAAGTAATCCAGAAGCTCAATCAGTGGTAACTAAGAGGACCCAGAATGAACAACACACATCTGTGCCTATGGACAAAGCTGCCTCAGAATCACATCAGGCCAATCGAAAAGTGAAAAACACCATGGTGACTCCCCTTTATTCAATATGTCCCCCCCAAATGAATCATTTGGGGGTAAAAATAGCTGTGGAGGAATAAAGAGTGAAGGGAACACTTAGGGTTTGTACATTGTTCCCCTTTTATTTTAATTCACCATGCATGTGTTTCCAGTAAGGTAACTATGCCTACAATTACAAAGGACAACATCACTGCACATTCTGGAAGCCACTTCACTTTGTTGTTTTATGGCCCATCTCAGCGCAATTTCTTCCTAGCAGGGGGAGAGCACACAGCCTTCATGAGCGAATAGTTTCATTTTCCTCTCTTTCCCCCCTTTTTTGATGAATGCAGATCACTCCCTTTTTGATGGTGGGTAAGAATACTTTATGAATATGTCTCTGACGTCAGGAGAGCCACATACTTGTAGGCAGTGGCCTCCTCAACTTCCCTGGATTTTAGAACTGCAGGATTTCCCAGGAAACAACTCAAGTTGGGGCTCCTGATTCAATTGACCCACTGGATGCTTTTAGTTTCTTCATATCAGAAAGTTATCGCCCTTGTCATAACCAAGGGCGATATACAAGAAGCTTCTTGAAATTGATTATGACAGGGCCAGAATTGAGCTAAAAGTTCTTAAAAACAATTTTAAGTTCAGGAAACAGGCCTGAATCACAGTGACTACCAGGGCCACTAGAGAATTTAATCTTATAACTCACCCAGAACTCATGTCCAGTGTTGCAGGCTGCATAGATATCACCTGATAACTCCACTCAAACCAGGACTGAAGATTTCCATTCACTCGGTACCTCCTTGGAGGTTTTCTCTGACCACGTCTACATCCATCTCTATACCAAGAGTCAAGCAAATGAACACATTGTTGTCTCAGTTATTTGAACTATATGGGGTGGGCATCAGTCTAGAGCTGACCCAGATGAAATGTTGTTTTCTAAAATAAATTTCCTACCATTAGTTCTGTTCACTGGGGTATAAAGAGTACCTAAGCAGAAAAAAACTTCGTGACAGGTCAAGGGATAGAAATAATGCCATGAACATTTTCTTTGAAGTGTTTAACATATTATTTAAAGTATGTAGTCAAAGTAGTGGGTTGGCTATCATCATACTAGTTCTCCAATCCTTACTCATGTGTCTCTATCTGGATGCCATTACAGTCAGCTCTGAAATTTAAGAAAATCGGGATTTGTCATTTTATTTAAGCCCCGTTTCTTTGATAGCACTTCCAGTAGGATCACAAGAGTCATTTGACCTAAGTAAGTTTGAGGTTATCTTCATTCAATTCGACTTGTTCTTGATCTATTAAGTTCAGTGATTCTTTGAAGGATCTTCTATTATTAGTAGGATGGTGTTTTGATGTGGTAAGAAATATTGAAAAGAATGAAGATATATTGGTAGGCTTTACAAAGCTATGTTGCAGTTAAGGTAGAATGTCTGCTACTATATAAATACGTAAAAGAAAAGCAATTAACTTCATAAATTATAATTCTCTTGATAACTCAACTCCCCAATAAACTTTCTTTTTCACTTAAGTAAAACTTTAAACTCTATTCAAATCATCACAACAAGGAAACATTGGCTGAGTCTGTCACACTGGTATAAAGGCAAGAATTACAAAAATTCAGAAAGATATCCATATACTAATGGGCACTAATAACAGGAATCAAGACGGAACCTCTTACATAATACAAAGATGCATCAGTGAAATATTTCAAAAAGAAGCAACTGGTCATGATGTTCCCTCCTACAGACACCATCCAGTTGCCTTTATTACCTGTGATAATACATACAGATACACACAAACACACAATAAAAAATTAGGAGTACTTGGCAGAAAAATAATGATTAACAAATTATTTTTCAGTTCCCACTGAAATGCATGAGGAATGCTAAAAATAAAACCTGGATTCTTAATCTGCATTTATGATTAAGTCTATGAAAGAGCTATTGGTACAGTAATAGAATACAGAGTCACATGGCTGGGTGGCTAGTAACAGTTTCTTTTTGGCTGTGTCTACAAAGGTCAAGGATATAATCAAGAAAGATAGTTAGAAAGCCAAAACCTCCGTTTTGGAGCTCCAGTTGTCTAGTTGGGTTGTTCAGATATGAGAGAAATGACAGCTAATTCTAGTATGGACACAGCCAGGTCCCAAAGGCAAACACAACTGGCTACCAGAAAGTGACAATGTATCGCTGTAGGTGTGAAAAGTTATGAGTAATTACTAGGAGGTGTTTAGAATAAAATTCCCTCAGAAATAAAAAGCTGGACCCTGATTCAACTGTGAAGTGTGTGGTGTTCTTACTTCCATGACCACGTGGGAACGCAGAGAATTCAATGTGGATTGTGTGGAAAGGCCACACCATAAAACACGGGCAGTAAGGACTTGGAAAGCAGTGAGAGAAGGAATGCTCAGCTCAGAGTGGAGAAGGCTGAGTGTGGGGCCATTTATTAGTGATTTTTGTGGATATGAATGTTTGTTTAAAGTCAAAAAATGTCTGACTAGCTCTTCTCACCCTCTCTGATTGCAGAGAAAGAGCAACGTGGTAAAATGGAGCCTGAGGGTGTTAATTTAGAAAAAAAAAGGAAGACAGTTTCTTGATGATGAGGGTTATTTGACATTAGAAAGTGTTGCCAAGAGAGGCTGGGAAATCTTCCCAGAAGGGTTTTAAGAAAATAGCAGAGGCCCTCTGAGCGAGTGCTGCGGGAGCAGGCAACCCCCTGGCTGTCCAGGCCCTGGGGTCACGTGCACTGTGTGTGTACACACTGCATTGTACTTGTGTCCCACAAATCCTCATGCATGCGGAGTCAATATAAACTGGCATATAATAGATTTGAGTGAAAAGTCATATAAATCTGCCACCCCCCTTGCCCCATAAACAAACAGAAAAGGAAAATTAAGAAAAATCAAACATATACCACTGGGCCAGATGTCTTTCTACCATATTCTGGTTCACAGGAGGGAGGTAGAAGATGAGAGAAAAACCAGTTTGGGATAAATGACTCTCAAGGCCTCTGGGCTCCTCTCACGGAGCTGGCTATCATTATATCTACTCAGCACATGGGACCAAGTTAACAAACTAACACATAAGAAAAAAAGATTTTCTTACACTTCCCCACCTGGAAAGAAATCTACCCTGTGGATGTGCGTGTTAAGGTGAATTAGGTAAATAGGCAGTAGTATATCGATGGGCACTGTGTTCTAACAAATGTGTAGTTGTTTTTCTTAGCGACTATGAATTTCCTTTAGGAGGTCAATTTCAAAATGCTCAGCGTTTGTTTCTCCTCCCACCCCTGCCCTGCCCTATAGACGGTACTTCCGTAACAGTTCCGACTGCCAAGGGTGTTTCCTCTCGGGGAACCGGTCTGGGATTTTGATCTTGAGGAAATCCTGGATGCATTTCTCCAGCTCCTCCTCAATTGAGAGCTTTTCCTTAACAGCTTTTTTTTTGCTGCTCATGTTCGACTCCCTGGAGCTTGAAGTCAGAGTCCGGAGCAGGTCGCTCTTCCTCCGCATCTCCGACTGTTGGATCAGCTGCACCGGGCCCTTCTTGATGGGACGGTCCAGAGTCTGGATGTTGGTCTGGCGTGTCACCGGCCCGCAGATGACCGTCTCCTGGGGAGAGCTGCCCTCGGACTGGCTGTCGCAGCTGGAGGTGGAGAGATCGTTGCAAGACGTGCCGCTCTCCCCTTCTTTGTCACCCTTGCCGTTCTTGCAGCAGCAGTCACAATGCGAGGATGACCACCTAGAAGGCTCACCTGCAAGGAAGCACAGGACCCAAGTGATTAAAGCCCAGAGTAGCAGCATAGCCCTACACACACACACACACACACACACACACACACACACACACAGCCATGTGTTTAGAAGTGGTGTGGCACTCAGGATGGGCTGCAACAAGAGCACCCAGAAGCCAGGCCCATGGAGGGAAAGGTTGATAATGGCCTGCTGTGTAAGAGGAAATACAGTATCATTAATGCTCACATCCACAGCATTGGAGTCAGGTAGCCCTGGGTAAGGCTACTCAGCTATAGCATTTACTAACCTGGGTACATTGGCAGACCCCCTAAATTCTCAAAGCTTCAGTTTCCTCATCTGTTAGATGAAGATGATTATCCTACTATCTGGAGTTGTAGGGAGGATTTAGATAAGTCAAACGAAGTTCTGAATGAAGTAAGTGGTATACAGTAAGCACTCAATAAATGCTTGTTGGTTTCACTGTGGCTGATGTTAAACCCTAATCCGAAGCTGTACATGAGAGCAGTCTATGAGTGGAATGACAGCTGTCAGTCAGGGAGGACTTCCTTTGTGCCAGCCCCACATAAGCTCTGTGCACTCATCAACTCATCAGATCCTCATGATAACTCTACAAACGTAGTAGCTTCATACAAGGAAACTAAGACCCTGGGGGTTTAAGCAACTTCCCATAGTTTGCACAATTTGTAGGTGGCAGGGCTAGTATTCAAATACCGATCTCCCAAACACCATATTGCAAGTAACTAGCCTTTTTTCTTTAATTTGCATGTCTGTAAAATACCTGCTTCTCCTTCCAAACAATGTTCAAGGTTTAACCTCACACGGAAGTCCTTGTTTACCTCTCCCCAGAAGTATTTGTCAACGTTTCCTCTGAATTATGGTTTATATTTTGTGTCTCTATTATTACCCTTAACACATTCATTAGAATTATTTTTTACTTTCTGCATCTAGGTTCCTATATCATGAGCGCTCTTAGGTGGGTACAGTGAAGTGTCCATTGTTGTAATCCTAAGGAACAGTATAGGAATTCAATAAAAGACTGTACCTACATAGTAATTGTAAAGTGCCTGGATCTAGCCATACCTGAAGCTAATCCTATCTGGACTTTTCATTTAAGCCAGTGTGAGTCCTTCTCTCCCTATTCCCCTGAGTCTTGACTCTCAGCACTGAGTTTGGAGATGTGGAGGCAGAGCCATTTTCAGATACACAGTTGGTGGTTCCCTGAACTAGAAAATCCAAGATTATGGCTCAAAGAAATTTCCTAAATATATCAGTAACTGCCCCCAGCCTCGCACTCTAAACAGCCAGTCTTCTTGGAGTCACGAACCCGAGACTATTGCTGATCATATAGTATGCACTGGGCACTTCCTATAGTTCATTGCACTTACGCCATAAAAAACAAAGGGCAACAGAAGCCCTTTATGATACTAATACTGGGAACAAGGATATTGTGGCAACTTTATGTGTTTTATAGGAGACCTAATTTAATGTGCACTGTATCCTATTCTCATATATAATGGGTTACTCTGTAATAAGATCCCACTTCATTGCCATTTTCAAATATGGTCAAAGTAGAGGAAACCTAGAATGGAAATGATAAGGAAAGTTCTGTCCTGTCTTCTGGGACAATGCCTGTCCTCTACATACCTAAATAATTTAACTATTTATAGCAACGCCTGTTGATTCCGTTTTCCAGAGGGAGTAAAACAAAGAAGTCCCATAATCACAACTCCAAGAGTCTCTCTAATGTGAACTCGCTCTTTCAAACCACTTTTTAAAATGTGATTGAGTAATCATTGTACTTACTAGTATATACCCATTAAATGAACTGCAACAATCCAATTAAGCATAAGGAATGGCGGCAGCACAAATGTCCTAGTTGTCCTGGGCTATTACAAATAAATGCCTTCCGTGCAGCAGAGCGTCCCACATGTACCTGCCAGCGACGTGGGAAATGGCTGCTGTCTGACAGCCGGGATTCTGGGATCATCTCTCTTCTTAGAGAGCGAATCTGTCTCTGCCTCTGCCTCTCCAAACCTGGGCATCCCACACTGACATCACTCGATGGAGAAATGGCTCCAATGATTTGGGTCAAGAACAAGTAATCACATCAATCCAGAGTTGATCTACTTTGATCCCTTTTGAGAAAAGTTCAGAAATTGAACTTAACCTTAAAAGATAAAAAGAAAGAAAGAGAGAGAGAAAGAAAGAGAGAGAGAGAGAGAGAGAGAGAGAGAGAGAGAGAGA